TCCTTTTATAGATGCCTTTAGGTGTCTTTTCTCCTTTGCTTGCATTATGCCTCACCTTTCAACTGATGGCTGTTACTGAGCTTGTTTTTTGTTTATTTGTTTTGAAGCACTGTCTCAGCTACAATATTGGCATTAAGGGATCTCTTCACTTGAGAAATACAGGCTTTGTGAGGATTGACTGCGTTGGCTTTTGTCGAGCATAAAGTATAGAACAGCCCAGTAGTAAATCCTTTCTTAAAGGAAAATGGGGGTGCACAGAAGTTTTCTAAGGAGAAGAATTTAATCTTTTTGACATTTAAATAATTATGTATAGGACCAGTATCACTTTGTGTTTTGACTTCATTTGAAATATTCTCTTAAGGAAAATGTTTATTAATACTAAGGTACTGAGGTTACAACACATAATTTTGATTAAAATGTCCCCAAACTTTTAATGTACCTTAATTCTCTGATGCAGTTCAGATAATTCTATGAGGAGTACTCAAATCACTGAGTTGTTAGCCCTGGGCGTTACTCAGACAAGCCCCAGCTTGGTCAAGTGGATACATAACTGTAATCTCAGATTTAGGACATCTGTTTATGTTAGACATATCCTAAGGCAGATTGATAGAAAGCTGAGAGAATGAGGGAAATGAAGAGAGATTGTTGATTTCTGGTCATTCCCTTGAAGAGGGCCATGGAAAAAGGGAAGCCATTTAGAGGAGAGTGAAGAGAATGGTGAACAGATCTGCAAATGTGGTTTTAGGAATCAGATAAAGGAGCTAAAGAGGACAAGAACTATGTGTTTGCGGGGATGTAATGAAGGAGGCAGTGAATAGAAGAGTAATAGAAGGCATGACCTAATCTGTGATGCCTTCAAGCAGTAGAACTAGAATCAATGGATAGCACTTACAGTGGAGGAAGGAGGAAAGAAATTCTGTAGAAACAACATTTATAGAACATTCTCTCTATCTAACGTTTATGGAACATTGTATTATGAACTTTCACCTGCGTTAGCACGTTTGATCATATAAAACCATACAATTTTTATCTAATTTATAAGACAGCTTGAACACATCAAAACTATTTGCGTTGTCCTGTGATGAAATGGGAAGTCCTGGGGATTTTTGAGTTCCTTATCATGGAGGTATTTAAGCACTGGGAATGCTGTGGAGGAAATTTTATCCTCCTTTCCTTTTTGAATTCAGAGACTAAAATTTTAAAATACATTTTAGTTAATTGTCATCATCCTTGTGTATTTATATTAGACATATTAATAATGTCTAATGATCAAGTGGTGACAGGTTTTCAGCAAAGCAAAAAAATTGAAGTCACTAGTCAACAAAGTAGTGTACCTTTTTTTAAAAAAGGAACTGTGTTCTTTATTAATTTCAAGTAATTAAAACTGTTAATTTCTTCAGAAAAGAAGTAGAGATTCTTAAGTCTTGCATCTTTTACTTCCTTGCCCTCTTCTTGTTTTATAGCTGTGATGAAGGCTACATTGGAGCAAGGTGTGAGAGAGTTGACTTGTTTTACCTAAAAGGAGACAGAGGACAGATTCTGGTGATTTGTTTGATAGCAGTTATGGTAGTTTTTATTATTTTGGTCATCGGCGTCTGCACATGCTGTCAGTAAGTATTTTTAAACTTAGTTTTAAGTAAATCTGAGAAATAGTATTGCTCATAGTTTTTCTTCTTTTCTTCCTTTCTACATTCTCTTTTGTTTTTTCTTTGATTCAAATAAATCTACTTTTTGAGCTTTGCCATTGTTGATATAGAAGTACTCATAATAAAACACATAATACATGATTTTTATCATTTACTGAATAAAATTGTTATA